ATATTGCCTTAGAACTATTTGAGTCCACGTGCCCTTAAAGCCTTTTGTGTCTGTACACCCCAGTTTGCAGAAAATAGACCTACGCATTTTTCTTGCCAGGCCCTCATCTGGGCCCTGAAAAGGCAGGACCCGTGGGATCTGGGCTGGTGGCGTGGAGAGGGCCAGCCCGGGAGCCTTGCACACCTTCCGAGTTGGTCAGCTTTGGGCAGTGAGCCAGGCTGTGCATTGCTTTGGTAACTTAAGTGATGAATAAATTGCTGTCCTGGCCCTCCATTTTGTCATAATGCCAAAGCTCTTATTATAAAACAAAACGAAACAACACCACCCCCTAAAAAACATCCATAGAAACCAAAACCCTCTGAGAGATCTTGGTTTCTTACTGTCAATAAGGTCTGCATATTCACCTTTTTTAATGTTTTGGTACCTTGTTTTCAAATAACTGGTTTCCTTTTTAATCCATACATTTTATTTTAGTCATTTAGAACCCATTTTTAGGAAGAGGTTAGGCTTTACCAGGCTGCCTAAAGGGTCCGTGGCACAAAAAAGGTGAACCTGTTCTTAGTGCTGACCTCTTCCAATAACCACAGAGAGTTCCCGGAGTCCTGGATGGCAGTCAGGACAGGGGTTTCATGGAAGGATGCTGCATAGCAGGGACACGGCGGGACTGGGGCGGTTACTGCTCGGGGCAGGCACCGGAGGTGTTGCAGATGTTGCCGTAGATGTCAGACCTCAGACCCGCTGTTGTTACCAGGCATCATCTGAAGGACATTCGTGTCTCCTGTAATCCAGGTGACTGTCAAGCATTAGGGAATCCCACCCACCTGCCCATCCGCCAGGGGCGTGGTTCCTGCGGGTCCTTGATCTTCCTTGCCCTATCCCACACAAGAAATCAGCCCAGAGAGAGAAAACTTTCATTATCTCTAGATTGTTCCACAACAATTGCGCATGTTCTTGGTTTTATCATTAAGTAACGGGGACCTGCGGCTTCTTGGTTATTGTTTGGTTTGTTTCTGTAACGTTTCAACATTCATTATTTTCTTTCTGGTGCTTTCTTAGGCAGCTGATTTGCTCCACACACCAGGTCCCCTGACCCGAAGCCACAGAGCTGCATTTAGATCAGGTTTCTCGCATGCTGCTGACTTTATCTCATTTACAGTATCACATTTCTGTTGCCATACACTGTGTGATCTGGGCCTCCCCACAGCTTTTTAACAATTCGTAATTGAGCAGGAAGTGTTTTTATTACAGTGGCCTTTTGATTTTGATTTTACAATCGTGTAGTGTTTAGCAGAGAGCAGAGGTGGGGAAGTGGCTCTCTGAAACACATTTTTGACAGAGAGAAGTCTGTTGTTTCAGCCACTTGGCTATCTGTCAGCGCTTCTCAGACTTCCCCCTTGTGTTGGTTGCCTGGCAACCTGGGGCTGGAGCAATCAAACCGTGGCCAGTGCTTTTCCAAGCCCAGATTGGGAGATGATTTATTGGTGGAACTGTAAGCACGGTAAACCCAAGCCTCAGAAATGGACCTTTTCTTTCATTTTAAACCAGGAGTTTATATAAACCACACCAAGAAAAAATAAAAGATGAAGAGTATCAGTTGGAGCATGTTTTTTAAAGCTTTTAAAGAATAAAATTAAGGCCTATAGTGAGCTTATTATGTATCCATTCATATATATATATATGTATGTATATATATGTATATATACACACACATACATATACATACACACACACACACATTTCTGCTTAGTTGGATTATTACTATTTTTCTTTTACCTTCTTGGAACACTTAACAATTTAAAAGTTAGTGCTTTATCTGGTAAATTAGGATACTTGGGATGCCATCTTTCCATGAGAAACTCAGCCCAGGGAATGAATGTTAAGGGCTCGCCTGGGTCATTGAAAGCCGTGATAGAATCAGGCAGAGAACAGAGCCCAGGTTTCCTGGTCACGTGTCTATATCTGGATTTAATGCAGTGAATATATAATGCTGAGTGCACTTCTCTCTGTTTTTCAAAATTAGCGGAAAAATGCAAAGAACCCTGCCTTCCCCATGCGGTATGAACAGGTCGTCCTCTCTGTACATAATGCATTTGTGTAGAGAAGCGAACACTGTCATTGCAGGACAAGTTAATTCTGAACTTTCAGATTCTTCCCACTTTCTGCTTCTGCCCACACTGCCTTCTCTTATCCTCCTCCCCCAATTTATAATTATTACTTTTTAACTGAAAATCATCCCATATTGATTTATTTTTACTATAAAAGTTAAGTTTAAAGCTCTTTATTGTGAGATTTCTCTTTCATAGAGTTTCAAATAATTTCTCCCATATTGCAAATGGAAGTGAAGAGGAATCTGTGGGGGGGCATTCTGCATGGGAGGAGGGGCAGAAGAACCTCAGCCTGACGTGCAGGTTAAGCATTTCTTAAGCATTTCATTCTAGAAAATTTTAAAGAAATACTTTGGAACTCAAACCGTACGCTCCATGCAGCCCAGTGTACCCGACTGTGTATGTAACTGTGCTATTAGTATGTTTGTGTTCCTTATAAATATACAGATCTAATCTCTGTGTGTAATTTACACACAGCTGTGTTCATGCTCTCTTAATACCAATATTTTCAGCAAGAGTGAGGTATCATGGGAATGCTATTGTTCCAAACAAAAGCCAGCAGAGCAGCCTCATGGTGGGGCCCATTACCAGCACCCCATGTGGGGACTCTCCCTTGAGAGACCCTTGTGGTAGTTGTTCTGCATGGGGACAGCATGAGACCAAATGGTAATAAAAAGGAAAACAATGACCACCATTAGACAGGGATCTGCCTTAGGAGCGAGGTTGCCTTCTGTAATTGAAATACACTCCCTTCCCCTCTATCCCCGGACATTTCCTAAAGGAGTAATTGATTTTCCCTCCCTATTTGGAGATCCTTTAAAGTGAACAAAGGTAAACGAGGAGCCCTGGCCCTTGTCAGATTGTGGTGAAGGAGAAACAAAGTTCAGGAGCCCTTTGCATGGCGGGAGCGGAAGTGCACCCCTGATGCCCATCAGGGCCTCAGTTTCCCGTTTGTGGGCAGATCATAACTTCTGGGGGGCTGAGTTCTTCTGGGGGACAGATTTCATTTAATTTAAAATAACAGGCTTTTGTGATTTTATTTCATTTAAGACTATGTGATATCATTGTCCATAATTCTAACAGTGTATTTATTTTACCTCCCTAATGGAAAACTTTTAGTGCTTTGGAAGTTTTAATGTTTTACAAAACAGAAATAAGGATCATTCTAGACCTGTGCTACCTGACTCAGTAACCACCAGCCACATGTGCCAGTCCAAGCTGAGATGTGTTGTAAGTGTAAACTACATGCTGAATTTCACAGTCCTAGTAGGAAAAAAAGAACGCAAACTATTCTTTAATAATTTTTATATTGATTATATGCTGAATTGATAATATTTTAGATCAAGTTAAAATGGACATTAGAAACTCGTATTATTAAAATTTTATCTTTAAAACATATGGCTACTAGAAAATTAAAGGTACATGTTTGGCTCACATTCAGTTTCTGTTGGGCAGCCACTAATTTAGACTCTTAATTACAATTTTTTCAGAAGGCTTCTTCACTAAAGATTTCTATTCTTTTATTGGCTTGTCACTTACAGATGAGCCACATTTCTTTTTTTCAGTTTGTTCCTCTTTCTTTTTTGCTGAGATCTACCTTGTTCAAGAAGGTGAACTTTTTAATGACTTATTTATGACCACTTTACAGGGACATTTACGGGGAGACTCCACGGTGATATCAGTGATCTCACAGGGGGAGGAGGAGCCTCTAACACCTGTGTGGGCTCTGTTGTTAGTATTGGGTTATTTTTAATTTGGGTGTAGCTGGGCAGCCATAATTGGCCAGAGATATTTTGCTGGCGGTATTCCTACATCTGTTAATGCTGCTGCTTAACTAGCCAGCTCTCATTTGACTTGAAATGCACTGAAGCGTGCTCTGATACTCACCCAGTGGCAGTGCTTTGTTAGGTCTGCCATAGTGAAAGGACTTAGCCGACTCGATGAAATCATCATATAGACAGAGATATATGGGATGGCTCCATGGCCTTTGCTAGTGGGCTCAGTTGCTATGTAAACCATCTGACATGAGGTCATTTTCCTATGAGGCATGTGGTCTTTGGATGAAAAACGGAGTAATTTTATTTGACATTTGAGACCACCTGGAAAGGGTTTAGTACACAGGTGTGTTGAAAAAATTAATTACCAGCTTCACTCTGGGTGCTAAACTGGCATCATGGAGTGGGACGGTATGGTTTCTCTGGTGGGATTTGTACGTCTGAGTGGACAGGAAAGTTGGTGTTAAACAATTTTGTAAGTAGTAATTAGAGAGTCAGAAACTTAGCAGTGAACACATGTCAGGAGACACTGAGTCAAGACGGAGGGCAGGTGGCTGGGAAATCATATAGTGCTTTGGGAAGACCAAGTTAGCTCACCTCCAGATTCACTCATTCATTCATTCAACCAGTGATTGATTGCTGATCAAGTGCTGCTTTTGGGGCTGGGATACAGAAGTGAACACATTTCCTGATGCATTTAGTGTCATGTAAAACATGTCATGTTACATGGTAATAAGAGCTATGTGTTAAAGCAGAGTAAGGTTATAGACAGTGAAAGGACATGCAGATTGAAGAAGTCTAATAGGAAGCTGGTTTACTGGTTCATTTAATTAATAGTTGACTAACAATGTAGAGTTTTTAGTAGTTTTTGTAATGAATTTCATATTGGTTTCCTCTTACTGCATAACAAATTTTGCCCAACAGTAAAAATTACCTCAACTGTCCAGTGTGGCTCAGTTGGTTGGAGTGCTGTCCCACATACCAAAGGGTGGTGGGTTCCATTCCGGTTAGGGCACATGCCCAGGTTGTAGGTTTGATTCCCCAGTTGGGGTGTATGCAGGAGGAATCTGATTGATGTTTCTCTCTCTCCCTTAAAAAAAAAATCAATAAAAAAATTACCTCAACTTAAAACAATAATATTCATTTATTATCTCTCCGTTTCTGTGGGATGAGAATTTAGAAGTGGCTCAGCTGTGTGGTTCTGAGTTGAGGGGCTTTCGTGAGGTTGCAGTCAGATGGTAGGTGGGGTTGGAGCCATCTTGAAGGCGCCTTCACTCAGGAGCCTGAGCCAGGAAGCCTCAGCAGCTGGGGGCTGGAACAGCGGGAGCTTCTAGGCATCTCTCGACCCCGGTGTGGTCTCCCAGCACTGCTGGTGGCTTCCGGAGAGCCAGCCTCTGTATTATGGTGGCTCAGCGCTGTGTGTCTGCAGAGGCAGAGCCAAGCAAAAGCCTCAGAAGTCCACCAGCATCACTTCTGTCCTATTGGTCCAACCAGTTACTCTTGGAGAGTGTATTGAAGAGCCTCGAGGAGGCCGTGGTCTAGGACACGTGACTGTCCATGTTGAGACTGTGAAAGATGATACTCTGAATAGAAAGTGTAGGTGAAGTCTGAGCTAGAGAAAAATGTCTGCTCTAGAAGAGAGGCGAGAACCATAATAAAAATGTGCTTATTATTTTAAATAGTTATCCCGTTTGCCTTTTTAAAACTTTAACTAGTTTAATGAAACTATTAACTATAGTTGACCCTTGAACAACTCAAGGATTAGGGGCACCGACCTTCCGTCCAGTTGAAAATCCAAATGTAACTATGTAGTTAACCTGGACTAATGCTAGTAAATTCAAAGTTACTTACAAAGTAGTCAGAAATGAGGAGCAATATACGAAGACTCTTGGAAATGCCCACCATGATTGCTGGCATGTCTCCTCCCAGACAAATTGGTTCTGGGTGCTATTTATTGAAAAAGTAGTGCTTTCCTCAGTCACCCTTTCATTAATGTGTTAAATATTTAAAACCCAAAACCAAATGATACTTTTCAAAGCACAGCATCATTAGTATACCTCCAGCAAGAAACATGTTTTAGATACGGTGACAGGAATCTATAACAAACAAGACCGTATGGATGAAATGCAATAGGTTCTCATCTAATGGTTGGTCAGTAAGAGCCGTTGGTGGACACGTGGGCACTGTGTGATACAAGTGTTTGGAAAGGCTTTCACTTCATCTGCTTGGCATCTATGTTCTCTTTTTTTCACCTTGCTCCCTCACTAACATAGGCCCACATTCAGGACACGTCTTCACTGTGATTCTGTCGTCCCAGACCTTCAGAAAAGCAGTGGGCATACTCCTCCGACTCCCGGCCTGGCTTATGGGCTTGCACTTTTATCTCTCTATCCGGGAGCGAGGGGGCACTGTGGATTGCTTACTTGCAAATATGCCTGCTCTTCAGTCCCCTGAGAACCAGTAAGTTATTAACATAAAATTTTGTGCAGAAAACAGGGTAGAGCAGAAGGAGCCATTTTCACAGTGGGAATCATTTTAATACCGACAGTGTTTTCCAAACAGTTATGTAAGAGGATTGAGTGACGTCACTTTTCGAAGTCCTGGTGTGCGTTTCTGACTGTGATGCACTAGTTAAAATTCACCAGTGGGAGTTAATTGTGAAAGCTCTCAGCCAGGAGTTAATGCAGAGCTATTTTTTAGCCATTTCTGAGGCACAGTCCCCTCGTCCTGCCCCCTTCTCTGCTGCGGACACAGGTCAGATCCAGCCCTTGAGAAGAAGAATGTTGGGAGTTCCAGGTGCAGATGAGAGCGATCAGTGCACCTTACTCTGTGAGGGACTTAGCGCCAGCCCACTACTCTTCTCCTTGCTATCCAGTTTGATGTTCAGAATAATTTTTTGAAATGGATAAGGCAGGTATTTTTTGCTAATTTAAAAGATGAAGAAATTGAGGCAAGAATAAGTTATGAGAATATAGCCCTTACTTACTTTTATAGATTTTTGAGAACACTTACCTTGAAAGGCAAACAAAGACAACAGATGCCCATCGCACCATCTGCGATCTGCACCCTGTCCTGGACTCCATTCTTAGGCCTCACCCATCCCCGAGGCTCCCAGGTGTTCACAGATGTCACCCTTGACCCTGGATTGATGGTATGGTTAGTTTTTCCTTCTGGAAAATGGAGATCGTAGTAGTCCCTGATTGACTCATTGAAGGGTGTGATGTTTCAGTAAGTCAGTGCACGTAGCCCTTAAGACGTGCCCTAGCACTACTCAGTGTTAGCTGTTTCTATTGTTGCATAGAGTGGTGTTTCCCTGCTGGTTTCATATCATGACGCATAACAGCGAAGCTGCTAGCCTAGGCCCACCCTACCTCCCCGAGGGTAGAGAGGGTCAGCATCTGGGTAGGCCATGGGCACAGGGCTCGGGAGGCTCTGACGTGGGGCAGGCTCGGCAATAGCACCAGGGACTTTGGAACGTAAAATTTTATCATAAGAGAAATGTTACTGCATTGTGACCCAATTATGTTTATTCCTATTAAGTATCTCCCATTTCAAAACTGGCTGTGTCCATAAACAGCCATGTCAAAATTTCCTTTATGGAACAGAGGAGCAGACTAGGTCCCAGAACTTCCGAGTTTGAATCTCATGTTCTTTGCATTCTACCAAAAATAAGAAATAGAGCTTTCCAGAGCCTATTAAAACACAGGTTAACAGTAAATACTGTGTTCAGGTAACTCACTTTTTTTAAAGCCAGGAATTAAATATTCTCTACTAGGAACTTACAGATAGGTAACTCCTGATGATATGAAATTTTAACTCAGTAATGGAAAACTACAGCAGTTTGTCTAAAAACTGGAGCATAATTATGTAGCATGACAGGGGTTCTAATTATCACTACAATGGCAATCATATTACAGTATTTGTGTATCAAATTAACATGTACACCTTAAATTTATACAATGTTATATGTCAACATATGTGAAACTGGAGCACAGCCACAAACTAAGTTTATAAAGCAAAGCAAAGAATAGTCTCCTTGCCATAAATAAGTTTATATTTATATTTGGATCTCATCTGGCTGTGAGGATTCAGAGCTAGCAAAGGACTTGTTTTCTGCTCCCAAGGAACACGTGCAGGTTAAGTGGAAACAAACACCCGCCAGCCCCTCCGTTCAAGTCCTGAGAGTGGCCCGGCCGCAAGTCTGTGGAGCGTGACGAGCAGGCTGCTGGGCACTCGGCAGGGACCCAGCCCACGTTACCGCCTTTTAAGTGAGCACAGTCTTCTTTCCCCTTCACCCTCGGCATCCTAGCATTCTAGTATCTGTACACCTCAAGCACGGAAAAGGTAAGGGATGTAGAAGTAATTCATGAGGCCTGGGATTTCAGCGCTGGAAATGCTGAATTTCAGCTCCACTACTAAGAAACAGACCATGTCTGTGAGCTGACATTCAGAAGCTTAGAGTACAGGCAGACCTCACAGATGTCGCCCCCCCCCCTTTTTTTTTTAACAAATAGAAGGCAAGACCCTCCACCAGCGAAAACATCATGACTCACTTATTGCAATACTTGCTTTATTGCAGTGGTCTGAAACCAAACCCGCAATATCTCCAAGGTATGCCGAGACATGTCTATTTTTAAATCGATAATGTTAATTATTAAATTAGTCTTAAAGACTTTAAGGTCTTCATTTGAAGAGAAATGAATTAATAGAGGGAAAGGAAATGAATTAATAGAGGGAAAGGAATGTTTAACATATTGACCTATGCTGATCACTGACCAACTCTGAGTGGGTTGGCTTTGTTTCGATTTTAAAGGCTCCTCTACATTTCTGGTAAACCACAAGGTAAAGGCTGGTCTCTGAGCAGCAGATGTTTTACCAGTTTTGAGGCCTTGTGGCTTTCCATAGAGAAGTAACAGTGCAGGCCACATGAAGCTTTTACTTCCTTTTTTTTTTTTTTTTAAGTGGAGCCAATGGTGCTTTGCACTTGATAGCATAGTCATTGAAATGCATTGACAGAAGTGGTCTGTGTTCACCACCAGATGTCAAATGCATATTTCTAGAAGCAGTTTGAAATGTCTGAGACATTCAAGCAAGTGTTCCCAGTGGGTTTGGACCATAGATTTAGCCTTGGGAACAGTCATAAGAATCTTGAATGATATTTAGAGCCCAGGGTGCAGTGGGAGATATATTGGGAGGGAGTTTAAGAGCAGCAGGAAGCCTTGAACAAAGCCGTGGGAAGACTCCAACATTTAGAGGTTGAATAGAGAATTAAGCCAGGTGATATGAGGAAAATCAGGAGAGTTTCATGTCATGGAACCAAGAAAGTCACAGTTCAAAATGAACCCTTTGATTTTTAACTATTTCCCACGGTGACCACACTAGCCCAACCAACCTGTCATCTCATGGTTTGTTTCATATATATATATATATATGTATATATATATATATCAGAAACATGGGAGCTCCAACTGCCTAATGCTATTGGGAGCCAAATAGAGTAAGATACAGTACCTGTCTTCAGAGCCGTAGACTCTATTAGTACATGAGACCTTATACAAATAAATAAATGCCAGATGAATGGGAGGGAATGGTCAGGGAAATTTCCTTTTGGAGTGGGAGGGAGTTGGACTTGGGTTTGAAGTAAACTGGAGGTATCTTGAGTAGGCTGTAGAGAGTAGAAAAGGTAGCCCAGAGTCTGGAGTTCAGACAGTTGCAACATGGATCAGTTGGCATTACTGGACATCTGGTTAGAAAGGTGGACAGAGACAGGATCCTGGAGGGCCCTGAATTCAGAGCTAAGGTGTGTTCCCACCACTCTGAATAGGTTAAAGCTATCCTTAGAGAGGGGTGGGAGCAGGACAGTATGGGACTCATGGTGAACTTGGTGGTTTTGAGAAATTCCTTGCAGGGGCTTGTAAATGGCTGAATGAGGGAGCTGGGTTAATAGGCCAGCTAGTAGGAGAGAGGAATAAGGGCTTGGCCTGGGACTAGCACTGTAATAGGCAAGAAAGGAGGACATTGAAAGACCTTTCGTAGGAAGAATACTGAGGACTTGGTGACTTGATGTTAGGGCCAACAGGAAAGGGCAGTCACTGATAATGGTACCATGACTAAAAATGGTTCAGACTCTTGCCTTCATTTTACACAGGGCGTGGCAGTGAAGGGCATAGATTTTGGAGCCTGGGTTTGAATTCTATCTTTTTCTCTGTAACCATCTGTGCCTTAGCTTCCTTGTCTGTAAAGCGAAGATAATGCATTTCTTTTAGGTTGCGAGGATTTTAAATTAATATATGTAAAGTCCTGGCATACAGAAGATACTTAATAATTATTAGTTGAATGGGTGATGTCCAGAGGAAGAATCAGAATCTGCACTCAAGTTTGCTCAGCTCCACCACATTAGCCTGCTGTTCTAGAGTCAGCCTTCCTCAGTTGCCGCCTCCATTGTGCCGGCCTCTCCTCGGGGGGCTGTCGTGTGTCCTGTGGCCTGGTCCTGGAATTCCACCATCACACTCACGCCGGGTCACCCACCTCGACTTTGTGTAGACTCTCCTCTCCTATAACCACCTCTGTCTTTCATGGAGGGCCTTCCGAACCCCCTCCACCTCTGCACATGCTGTCAGTTCTTCATGATCTGGGCGAGCCTCACCATCTTGGGGAAGGCGCTCTGGACTACACAGTCTGTGCTTTTGGCTGAATTAAATCCCAGATGTTTCTGTAATGACTCCACACACATGTATCTTACCTGCTAAAAACGAATCTGTTTTAATAAAGGTCCATGGCTACTTTTAAATTCCTCCCAGTGCTGGGTGCACAGTAAATACTTAGAGTGGATGAAGCAGCATTCATTCTGATGGCTGAGGTCGAGCTCAGGCCTCCCTCATCTCACTCCTGGGTTATCTCACCAGCCTCTTCAGCTGGTCTCTGGATTGCAGCCAGTCTGCCCCTAGGCCACAGCCACTCTGCCACTGGAGCCACCCTTATCCAGTCTTTTCATGGACCGTAAGGCTTCAGCCTGGTCTAAAAGGCTCTCTGCAGCCCGCTCCGCTCCTGCCACTCCAGTCTTACCTGCTGGCCCTCTTTTCTGCACACCCTGTCCTCCTTGCAGCTCCCAGAATGTTCCGTATGCCCTTCCTGGCTGACTCCTTTGCTTGAAGCCCTGCTGAGCACACCTGGCAGGCTCACGCTCTTCCTTGTCACTTCCTCTAAGACACCAGCAGTGTAAATTGCTTCCTCCTCCCAGCCCCACCCACAGCCCTTTGTTCCTCTGATGCTTTTCTGAGGGCCCAGAGATTGATCTGTTTACCTATTTGCCATGGAGCTCCTTGAGGACGGGGCAGCCTCGTTCCTCTCCATGTCCCCCATGGAGGAGCCTTGCACGGAGTCCAGGATGCGGCTGTAATTAGAATGGTACTTTTGTTAAGTCACCGAGGTCACTCTTTTCCAGACTGGAGGAGGGCTTGCTTTTTTTGTGCCTTGACAGACTTTTCCTTTGACCTATAAGAATTATAGTGAAAATTGACAGTGATGAGTCATCTCTTAGAAAGGGGTGAAATCTGAAAATGCAGAGCCTCGAGGAATGGAGTAGGAGGTTGCAGATCTGTCTTGCAGGCCAAGTCTGGCTCCTCACTGAATCGGCCCGGCTGGTCTCAAACACGGGGAGTGGGAGGGACTCTCCCCCCGGTGGGCAGGTGATTTATTGGCTGGGAAGCTTCCACGGTGATTTAGTTGTGAAACGGCGCCTTGCGAGGTGCCGCCTAATGCCTGGGCCTCGCGGGAGCAGCCGCCCACAATCCCGGGCCGGAAGGGACCGCGGGGGGTCGAAGGGACCGAAGGGACCGCGAGGGTCGAGGGT